GGCACTGTCTGGACTCTAACTGGTGTCCTTTCTAAGACAGGGGCTATTTCCTGACCAAGGAATCCCCAGTGTCTGAGCTTTGCTGGCTCTGCACCAACATTGGGTCACTCTCTGGTTAGGAAAGTCCCTGGGTAGGAGGCTGAGACATAATGAGAGAGACGCAGGGCAGAAAATCTGGATTTTGCAAATACAAACAATGCACAGTGTTTTGCAACTGGAGCCCATCGTGCATAAATGTGAGTGGCAGTCACAGAAAAATCCTCATTTGCATTCTCGATGAAATACATAGCACAGCTGCAGGCTGCCTCTGTGTTTTTTCTGAGCTCTGCCAAGCCCTAAATTCACTTCTGAAATGTTTGTTCTGTAATCACTCTGCATGGGAAACATGTAAACAAATAGCTTCAACTCCCTGGTCAGGTATAGACATTACACTTTTACTGGTATAAGTGATCGGAAACCAGTCTATGCCCATAACGGAACAGAAGTTTGGCACACAAAACTTGTCTAGACCCATAACAGGACAGAAGTTCAGCAGACATAGCCTGGTTTAAAAGTAGTGGAACCCGGTTTAAGATGTCCAACACCAAAGGGTGAATGAATGTTTTTTTTGGTAGTGATCTAAACTACGCCACTTACAGAAAACTGCATAACTTGGACTGATTATGCCTTGGGATTTTTTAATGTCTGTACCTAGGTTAGGAGTGGGCAAAGTCTGGCCCACAGACCAAATCAGGCCCATGGTGGACTTCATTTTCCAGCAGCCCCTGTGGCAGCAGCTCCTTCTGGCTACTGCCACTGGACCCAACCTGCTGCCTGGGCACCCCAGCTCATCTGCCCTGCACCCACTGCCAGGGGTGAGACCTGCACAGGCAGGATGCGCAGCCAAGCAGCTGGGATGCAGCCATGACAGAACCGAGACAGGTGGGCAGGCTCAGGGAGACCCTGGGATCTTGGGGCAGTGACAGCACAGAGCTGGGCAGAGCTGCCACCTGCTGCCCACACACCCCATGATGAGCATGAGGTCTGCAGGCAGGGGAGCGCAGGATGTGGATTGCAGCTCTGCTGTGGCCCCGCACTATCACTGCCCCAAGATCTTGGCCCCAAAGCAGCTCCCTTCCCAGCCGCGTGTCCTAACTTTATGGCTCCCGGCTAGTCTCCATGGAGCTCACTGGACATGTGGCCCTGTGTTGTCACAGCCCTGTGCTGTTACAGCCCCATGCTCCCAGGGTCTCCACCCAGGAGCTATGCAGGCAGGGGCTGTTGGGAAATGGAGTCTAGCCACCAGTCAGATCCACTATTTGGCCACCCCTGCTCTAGGTTGTGCAAGGAACTGATGGTTTATCAGTGATGTATGGGAAAAGCCTTCATTTCACTTAGGGCTGGATGTATAGTTCATTCAAGCAAGAATGTGACGAGCTTTAGGCTTTTAGTTCACAAAACCACTCTAAACTCCTGCAAATGTGTTTGTTGTTCATGTATATTCATCAAAAAGTTTGATTCATGAGCAGTTTTATGACTGTGTGTGAGGCTTACTGCACCCATTTACTATTCAAGTCCCTAACTATTCATCATTCCCAGTTTATACCATGTGATTGGCTCTGCAATGTCATTTCTGCTTCCTCAGTGAATGATTAAATTTTTAAGAGGAGCCCAGGAAATAAAAAACAAATAGCAAATGAAGAATAATTCACATATGCTGCAAAGTGATGAAATTTTCAGGGCTCACCAGCATTTTCATTTGCCTGAATATTTACAAGCAGTGAAAAATCTGAGCCTGCTAATGGCAAATAGTCAATCAAAACACTTTAGTTATGAGCGGATTTCATGAAGCTGCTGCTTCATTATTCTCTCTGCAGTAGAAAGCAGGGAAGAGGTGTACCTTGTCAACTAACTGAATCAAGGATACATAAGCTTCTGTGAGCAAGAGCTCACTTCATCTGATGCTACCTGATGAAGTGAGCTCTTGCTGACAAAAGCTTATGCATCTCCGATTCAGTTAGTTTATAAGGTACATCTCTCCCTTGCCTTCTGCCTGACTTCAGATTAACACAGCTATCTCTCTCAGCAATAGTTACAATGGTGCCAAATAGGTAGCTGGAGACATCACAAAATAGGTCTTTCCATTTTGAGATTAATATGGCAGGCTCAGCAGACATACCAGGATTGATTTGGCCAAAGGATTTTAAGGTTGACCTCTCCAAAGCAGAACTGAAGCATCCTGCTGAGACAGTGTAGAGAAACCTGCACTGCTGCTGCCTGTACTGTATTGAACCTGTTAGCAGAGAATTTTAGTCTCTAGGGGACTGATAATCCCAAATTTCATAAGCAACGAAACTCATTTAAAGAAATACCCAGCAAACAAGCAGATCCACTTTCCAGATAATATAAAAGGGACTTCAAAGAAAAGCTGCATCTATTTAGTTTTAGAAAACTTACACAATTTCACAACAAACCACTAGATAATGAGGCAAGATCCCAGCCAGTTGAGCCTGATCATGAGATGCACCCCATCACGTGAACCTGCTTTACAAATCTGACTCTGCTTGCTGTGCTTTCCCTAGACATTACTCAGGTTGTGGGTTATTTTCCCTGCTTCATAGCACTCTGGATTTTTTTAAACACAGTAATCAGCAATCCTTGGCAAAGAAAGAAAGAAAATGGGCAAAGGCATCCAAACTGCATTGGGAGATAGTGGCAGGGCATTTATATTTTTCATGTAAGCATAAAATTACAACATCTTCTCAGATTCAAAATGCTGGGTCTTTTCCATAACTGCCTGGTTAATTTGGCATAAGGAAATGGATGCATGTCCCGGGCCAAATAATGCAGTAGCTTCCCACAGGCTAACAATAATACTGCAAACCCTACATAATTCCTCCTTGAGGAGGAGTGCATAAAGAAATGCCATTAGAATAAACTTCTAACCTGCTGTAGGCATGATGCTGCTCTCCCTGACACCACTCTCCCACTGGGGGGTACCCACCACTCAAGGCTGTTCTTAACTTAGAGTGGGACCAGTAAAACCAGAACTTAGTTCCAGTAGCCCTGACTCTCCTTGTTTTGTGGCCTCCCTTATACCTATGTAAAGTAGGTGCCAAACCCTTACCATTCTGAGCTAGAGGCACATTGCACACACTTTGCATGGGTATGAACATAAACAGCAAAGCAGCTGAAGAATCAAGCTTAGTGGACACAGCTGCGTAGGGTGCCAAGTGCCATTTTGCAAATATAAAAGGCAACATTGAGGGGCACAGGGCTAGCAGAGCTCCCCCTGGGGAATACTGCTGGTGTGAAGGCAGTCATTTGCCAAGTATATACAGCTGACCCAAAGGCTCTTTGCTGCCTGCCTCATAATTTTGCATGGTTCAGTGCACTGATACTCTCAGCTGCAGACCCCATAGAGCCTGTTACAGCTGCTCTAATTCACATCAAGATGCAGATGGAACCTAAGCCTGACTGAGGCTTGAGGAAACAAGTGGTTTAAAGTAATTATTGCTCATGCCCTCTTTACCCTTCTGTCCCCCTCCATCAGCAGGA